GAATGCAAAGAAAGCGTCTTCAGCTTTCGTTCTACATCGTTCTATAGAACATCATTTGTGTGTATTTATGCATGTGGGCAGCTATAACGAAAGATCATATTTGAAACACAAATTTTGCTTTTGGCGTTGTGGTTGCTGCTGTTGTTGTTGTTGGCTTGTCTGCTGACGCCTTTTTGGCATTGTCTGGGTGCCAGATCTTGTGGGCCCCGCAATTGTTCTCATTATTATTTACTGGCTATTTGCGCCTCTGTTTATTGCCAATCTTAGCTGCCTTGCCCTGCCGTGCCCCGCCCTGCGCAGCCGTTGCCGCGCCCAGTCGTCCAGTCCCTGCCTTGCACACGATCGTCATCACCTGGTTCTGGAGCTTGCTCCCCGCATGCTGTTTGCCTGTTTAGAATCAGTGGGGCCCAAGCGCGTCATCGGGCGCACGTCAGTCGATATAATGTAGAGTTTGGGGAGGGGACTGGAGCAGGTGAGTAGATCGCGCACGGCATTTGGGGGGAGGCGGCGCGCTGCGAGTGTTGCCAACTATTTTTAGCCATGAGACGAGCCGCTAAAGTATTTTGGTCATCAGTTCAAAAACAAAAACAACACGAAAAAGAAAATGAAAAAAAGAAGCAAGACGGACAGTTTTATTTTTCCAACAAATTATTTAGACGCAAAAATCGCATGGAATTATTTATAAACGGCTGCGAGACGACCTTGTTGTTGTTGTTCTAGTTGTGGTTGTTGTTGTTGTTGGTGTTGCTCTTGTTCTGGTTGTTGTTGCTGTTGTTGTTGCTTTAGCTATTACGACTTGGAGCACGCCAAAGCCAAAAGCGTCCTTCACCCTCAATTATTTGTACGGCCATAAATGCCAACGAAATATGCGCATACCAAAGGAAACCAGCCAAAAATTTTATTGAATCAAATGGAATCGAGCTGAATGCCAAGCGTTTGTCACAGCAAGTGGCGAAAACAACATTAATTACAATTTCCATTTAATTGCGGAATAAAAGACAAGACAATAACAAGAGAAAATCGAATTACAAAATCTAATCGAAGATGAAATTGAAATAAATGGTAAGTTAGAGATAAAGAGGTATTGAGTAGGTCGAAGATTTCGGTAGAGCCTGGAATGTCAAGGTTGAATATCGTAGTCATTGAAGAGATAAGGATGAGCTGGGCAAAGATATCAAAAATAGAGATACATATTAAAATTTAGAGAGTAAATACATATTAATATTTAGAAAAGTAATTAAAAGAGTTATATCGTAAATGTTGTTAAGGCATGCAGAAGGTTAGTATCGTAAATGTAACAAAGGCATATCCAAGCTGAATATCGTAAATGCTGTACATATGTATAGTCCAAGCTGAATATCGTAAATACTCTACATATAGTCCAAGCTGAATATCGTAAATATGAAATATGTTATACATATATGAAATATGGAATCAGAATATTTAATAGCTAAATCCAGGTATATTCAATACACTGCGTGGCATGCAAATATATAGCAGCTAAATATGGACAATACTAAGAGGTTTTGCTCAATATAAATATCGTAAATATAGCAAATTTATATTATAGAAGATAGAATAAAAATACCTCTCTCTAGCTGAAATGCAAAAATTTACTTAAATAATATATAAAAGTTGCAAATAGCTGCGAGCCAAAAATGTGAAAAACATTGTAAATATTCAATCTATTTTCGACATTTTGAGAGCCGCCCTCGCAATATCAATCAGCAGTTCAAAGACTCAGAATGCTGTTCATAATAATATAGCCGAATTACTCATCCCATGTAAATAAAAATGTTTTGGAAAACAACTTGTTTTTTTTTTTTTTTTTGCTTCTAATTTTAAATATAAATCAAAGATTTATTTATTGTTAAAAATGTGTGTTGGCCCTGTCCAGCTGAAAAACAAATAAATAAATACATATAAAAAGTTTTATTTTTTTGCGCTTTAGGCAATTTGGTTTGACCCTGAAAAACTGGTGCAGTGGCCATTTTATGGCCACTCTAGATCTAGGGCCCTAGATTACTCTGTGAGAGGTTTCTCTGTCTGTCTGCCTGGCTGCCTGCGCTCAGATTTTTATGATCCTGGCAGCTATTGCATAACATTGCGTTTGGCCTGGTCTACGGGGATTTTCGAGGTATGGCTTACCAAGTAGCTCGTCGTTGACCTTACGCAAAATTATATCATAAGCGAGAGCAGAGCTGAGGACAATGGACGGACGAGAATTTAGGGCTAGAGGATCACGCTTATGTATATATGTATGTAGGTAAATCGACTAAAAGTCTATCTCTCTCTTTCTCTCTCTATCTTCTGCTGTCTCTGCCTTGGCACATTCATGATAATCGACTAAAGCATTCAACACCTTTTGACAGTTTCCTGTATTGTCTCATGCATTTATGCAAAAGGCAGGTGATTAAATTCACACTATGCTCTCGCTCTCGCTCTTGCTCTTGCTCTTGCTTTTGCTGTCTGTCTCTAACGGTAGCTACATCCGACAGCTCCACACGAACGCATTTTAATTGCCAGGATAATAATAAATAGAGATTCTCGCTTCATTAGTTCAAATGCCAAACAGGTAGCTCTCGACGAGCCGTGCCAGCCCCTTGACAATTATTTCCGGCGTTTGTTTTTTTTTTTTCTTTCTTCTACTTCTTTTTTCTCTCTTTTCTGTTTTCAAACGAAATGCCTGCTTATCAAGATTGCCAGCAATGCACGCCCACTCTGTGAAATCTGTGTGTGACCAAACGATCATTTCGTTGGCATCCTAGTTAGGCGTCCTCAGTTGCGGTATGTCCTCTGTGATGCCTCAGACAGCCGCCAGCTGTGCAGCTCGTTGGGGGGTGTGCAACGGCAGCAGCAGCCGCAGCAGCAGCAGCAGCAACTCCTCTGAGCAGCAACACGTGTTGAGCTGACCACCAGAGCGTCCAATGGGCATGATTCACACACACTCACGATCTTAGCGCGTCGCTTGTCGGCACAAAAGTGACGATTAAAGTGAAGCCAGGCCAAGGCAAAAAAAAAGGGCAACAACAACAACAGCAAGGCACAAACAATAACCAAGAACAACAACAGCAACTGCAACAAAACGTTAAAACAAAATTAATACCAAAGGCAGGCAGTCGTAAAAACTGGCCAAAGCTGTGATCCTTTATGGCCCCGCACGATGGCAGCCGCAAAGGCAGATTGAGTACCAAGATTTCAAAGGGGCGCGTGATCGCCATCAAAATGCTCGTGGAGGCAATTTAAATTGTTAAAGCTGATGCTGATGCTGAAGCTGAAGCCGAGGCTGACGCTAAAGCTACGGCTGCGGCTGCACTTGGAGCAGAAGCTACAAGGCGCGGCAAGGCGCGTGCAGCCACAGAACCTGCTGCTAAAGCAGACAGACAGAGAGAGAGAAAGAGAGAGAGACGTAGAGGCAGTGCTAGAGTGTGGCTGTCACTCGCGTGCTGGGTGTTGAAAAATTTGGCATTCGTCTGTTATTTATAACAAGAGCTGTCTGCCCATGGACACAAACAACAGCAGCAGCGATGCGCCACGGGCAGCGAAAAGAAGTCAAGGTTATATCTAGGCTGCAACTATGTAATATGCCACAGCACGTTGCAGCATTGTTCGGTGTTAATTTATAGTTCGTTGCACGGAATTAGTGCAAAATCGCTGCAGGTAATTTTAAGTAATTTGTTCATAACTCAAAATGATGGCAGTATTAAGTCAAGAGCTGGGTAAAAAACTATGATATAATATGTTAACTAAAATGTAAGCTTGTACACAATAGGTATACCACATATTTTTTATGAATAAAACAAATTAAAATATATAGCTACGGAGAATTGTGGCTCTATATAAATTTAAAAAGTCGCGCGAAATTCATTTTTGGCTTCTACAGCACTAATTGCTAAGCAACACAAGCTGACTGCTATGCAACTCGCGCGATTTCTTACGTGAGTAAAAACCAGTCTGGCAACTCCGTCAGAGTATGTAGCTGTCGTCTATCAGCTGCGTGCTATGTTATTTCAACAATTAACGTTTACTTGGTTGAAAAATTAACTTAAATTGCTTTTGTAAAGAAAATTGTGAAGATCACACGTATATTTTTGAGAAATTTACCAAACGATGCTTTTTAACAGAACAAACAGCACAAACATATTGCTGCTTAAAATCGCCTCGTTTTCTCAGTATCAAATTATATTATATCGCGGTGCGATTTTTATTAACTCAAACAAGGCATTAATATCTGATTTATTTTCACTTGACTCGATATACATTTATATAATTACAGTGGCTGCAGCTGTTGCCCGGCTCTGACTGATGGGCTGGCTGTCCAAAGGAATCAGCGCAAATTGGCATCAAAACAAATATTTGCCCGAGGTGGCAGCCAAAGCTCACAAGTTTCAAGCCTAATGACAGGATGAGCAATGTGATCCTCAGCTAACAAAGGCAGACACTTTGGACACGGGCAGTGGCAATGGAGATGGGCACCGGCTCTGACAGTGGCTCTGGCTGCGGGCTCCTTTTCACACCATCAGCAGAGCTGTCGACGTGCGACGGTGCGATGTGGACACACCTTTTGCCACAGCAGCTCGTTGACTGTGTCAATTCTGGGAATGTCAGTTGTTCTTGGCTCGAAGACGTCCGACAGCCGGGCAATAAAACGTTGCAGCAAATTAGCGCTTTATTGCATGTTTGTTTGGCTTGCCATGGCTGAAGTGGCAGCAACGTCTGCTGCTTGCCAGCTAAGCGAATGCCGTTAAGTTCTGGTTAAAGTCCCAAGCCAAAAAGCAGAGAGAAACACAATCAGATTATAGCCTGCAGCTAGTTAAACAAATATATATCATATATGTATGTACATATGTATATATAATCTGTAAGCATTTATTGACATTTCAAGCACCTGCTAATTTTTGGATATTCGTTTTCTTTTTTCGTGTTTGCTCTCCTCTTCATATATCTTTCATATAGGTATATCACAACTATTTACAGTTCATTTCCGTTTCCTTAGAGGTTTTTTTCTTTAATTTTTTGAATAGCTCAGCTATCCAGGTCCAGGTGTCCTGTCCACCATTAAGTTTGGCTATTTATCACATTCGTTCGGTTTTTGGAGTTACCGGTTCCTGTTCCAGTTTCCAGTTCCAGTTCCAGTTCTAGTTTCCAGTTGGGTGTAAGGCCAGCAGCATAACGGCATCTGAAGCGGCTGTGTCAGCTCTCTAAGTAAGGCACTTGGGTGTATAAACGTTCACCACCGAATCCCAACCACAGTCGGCCAGCTCATGAGCACGCTGTGGATTCCAGTCCAAGCCGCAGACAAACTCTGTGTGCTGAGCATTCACTTCCTGTGCGGATACACCGGTTGCTAAGTCCCAAATGCTGTGGAAGAGGGGAATATACACAAGTGATCTAAAAAGTCTAATAAGCGGATGGATATAATAGAATTTATATCCCATCTCATTTCACATCCTATTACTCCCTACTCTAACTCGGTCTTCAGACTGTCTTAGGCGAATCCTTTTTCCCTTTGCACCCATAGATCTTTTCCCAACTTACCGCGTTGTAAAGTCATAATTGGCTGAAGCGAGCACCGTTGCCGAGTGCGGGGAGCAGGCCAAACGTCTGACTGCAAATTCTCCAGAGTAGAGCTCGAAGATGTGTGTGCGCATCTTGCGCAGGTCCCAGCCACGTATCAGACCATCCGATCCTCCCGTCAGCAGCACATTGCGATCGAAGTGACTCCAGTCACAGGAGAGGGCCTCGCTGGCATGCGCCTCGATGCTCATCAGGGGTTTACCTGCAAAATCAAGAGAATTCCATAAGTTTAAGTGTCCATCGGTACTTACGCTGGCAAAGAGATTCGCAATGAGCGGCGAATACTTTGCGCAATATATCAAATCATTGTGTCCCACAAACGTCGTGATGGAGTTCTGCCTGTTGCAATCCCACAGCTTGAGCGTACAATCCCAACTGGCCGAGAGGAGTGTGTGATAATTCCATTTCTCGCCCCAATCCAGACTGTAGATCTCATTCTTGTGCTCCTGCAGGCAGATCAACGGCTGTTTGGGTGTTTGCTCTGTCACCACCGATTCGACATCCAAACCAGACCAAATCTGTAGCGAGCCATCGCCGGAGGCAGTGGCTGCTATATCAGCGGCATATGGACACCAGGCGACATCGAACAACCCATCCGACCACTCCAGCCGACACAATTCTGTAATATTCTGTTCATTGATGCTCAACTGAGCGTCTTTTGTGGAGTTTTTGGCAAGTAAAAAGAGCGAACCGCCACCAGCAAGACCGTACAATTGGCTGTGGAAGAGGATAGATTAGTTAGGGGTAAAAATGAGGGTTGTCTCTGGAGCTTACCTAGTAGCGAGCAGCATGTGATTTGCCTCGAAAGGCGAGAAGCGCAAGCTATAGCCATGACGATCGGTTGTGGTGTGGCTCTGTGTTTGCATTGCTAGGCTGAAAGAGATAGATAGATATATGGATTAAGATTGAAGCACATTGTAATAGAGACAGATATAAGGATATATATTGAGCTACTATATATGCATATTATATTTTATTGTAATTTTTATTGTAATTTTTAAGTTTTAAATATTAATGCATACATAAATTAAGACTAAGTTTGCTGTAGAGCTGTATGAGTAGTTCCTACAATGATCTATCACATTCTAGAGTTCCCGCTCGTAATCGAATCGGTTTAGTTTTTCTACTTTAACAACTGCACATACATAGAATATTCACAATCTAACATTTCCACTTTAAATAGATAAAAATCAATATATTGATATTTGATTTACTCTAACACACTGCCTGAGTGCTCCACTACCTTCTAGGGTTTCCCAATGCAAAAATAAATGGAGAAGAGACCTCTCCACAAAGACTTGCGTGAATTTTACGCAAACGGCTTTTACGCACTAGCTTGAGCTTTCGCTCTGTGCTAATAGCTAATCAAATGCTAATCCTCCTGCCGAACTTACGACGAGCAAACATTTGGCTGACCTCGCACGAGGTCGCGAACGCGAACGCTACTTGACATTAGCCAATTTGGCTGGTCAAACGGAATGGCGTGGAAAACTGCGCAAAAGAACGTTGTCGTAGTTGCCGTAGTTGTTGTTGTTGTTGTTGTTGTTATGTTTATACAAGTCGAGTGCATAACGGGCAAATCCACTTAGTGAACGCAGTGAAACCCCACGGGCAGGGCCAGTAGAAAGGTATATAAGCAGGTACGGCCGTAGCTCAGTTTTGCATTTTCCTCGACCAGCGGCGAATTGCAGAACGTCTCCAGCTCCGGGCGCAAGAAAAGGAATATTATTATTATTATTTAAGTGGACATCTTAATAGAATTAGTTCAAGATGGTTGTATCCGTGAAGGTATTTAAGAAGGCCACGCCCAACGGCAAAGTGACGTTCTATTTGGGCCGTCGTGACTTCATCGATCACTTGGATTACTGTGATCCCGTCGATGGCGTTATCGTTGTGGAGCCGGACTATCTGAAGAATCGCAAAGTATTTGGCCAATTGGCCACCACCTATCGCTATGGCCGCGAAGAGGACGAGGTCATGGGCGTCAAGTTCTCCAAGGAGCTGATCCTGTCGCGGGAGCAAATCGTGCCCATGACCAATCCCAACATGGAAATGACGCCCATGCAGGAGAAACTGGTGCGCAAATTGGGCAGCAATGCTCATCCGTTCACCTTCCACTTCCCACCCAACTCGCCCAGCTCTGTGACGCTGCAGCAGGAGGGCGATGACTTGGGCAAGCCACTGGGCGTGGAGTACACCATTCGCGCCTTCGTCGGTGACTCCGAGGACGATCGCCAGCACAAGCGCAGCATGGTCAGCCTGGTGATCAAGAAGCTGCAGTACGCGCCGCTGAATCGTGGCCAGCGCTTGCCCAGCTCGCTGGTCAGCAAGGGCTTCACCTTCTCCAATGGCAAAATCAGTCTGGAGGTGACACTGGACCGCGAGATCTACTATCACGGCGAGAAGGTGGCGGCCACGGTGCAAGTGTCCAACAACTCGAAGAAATCCGTGAAGAGCATCAAGTGCTTCATTGTGCAGCACACCGAGATCACCATGGTGAATGCGCAGTTCAGCAAGCATGTGGCACAGCTGGAGACCAAGGAGGGCTGCCCCATCACTCCGGGCGCCAATCTGACCAAGACCTTCTACCTGATCCCACTGGCGGCCAACAACAAGGATCGTCATGGTGTGTGCAAGAGGTAAACTCCGCGTTGCTTGGACGCGATTTAACTAACATACACTCCTCAGGTATCGCTCTGGATGGCCATTTGAAGGATGAGGATGTCAACTTGGCTTCCTCCACCATGGTCCAGGAGGGCAAGTCCACGGGCGATGCTTGCGGTATTGTCATCTCATACTCGGTGCGCATCAAGCTGAACTGTGGCACGCTCGGAGGAGAGATGCAGACGGATGTGCCCTTCAAGCTGCTTCAGCCGGCACCTGGTAGGTCATAAGCCCAATCCGCAGCCACTTTTCATGCTCACTCTTTTGGGTCTCTCTCGCCAGGCACCATTGAGAAGAAGCGCTCGAATGCCATGAAGAAAATGAAGTCGATTGAGCAGCATCGCAATGTCAAGGGCTATTACCAGGACGACGACGACAATATTGTATTCGAGGACTTTGCCAAGATGCGCATGAACAATGTGAACATGGCCGATTAGTTCCGATAAACCATATATAGATATATATATRTATAAWKATATAACCGATCGAAAGCACTGAAAACTTGTTGCAGCAGTCTCATAGAGGCCACAATATTTGTATTATAATCGTATCGTGTAGCGCGCTCTCCTCTATTCTCTACAAACCTTGGTAGATCTGGAGTTTTTAATGTTGAAATGTTGAAACGACCTCGTGTCCTTATATATTTTAATTAAATGTTAATTGTCTTATGGCTATCTACAACACTTACGGCTCTTTCAGTTCGTCAATTCAGAGAGTCTTTCGTATTGGCTTCAGACGGAGTTCAAGGAGGCTCTAAGGAGTTCTCGATGTGCTGTTGCTGAGGCTTTCAACTTCAGAAGTCGAATGAGCTGCTGTCCCTCGGCGCGCCACGAGGAAGGCTTCAGGGGTTGCTCACAAGGGGGTTGCAATGAGCTCTCTGTGCCATAGGTCAGCCAAAGCACAAGCAACCCTTAAGGCCAGGGCAACAGGCGGCTGAACAGCCAATCAGCAAGGCTTCGCCTGGATATGGCCGTTATAAACGGTTACAAAGGAAGTGCGAAAAACTTTTGATATGCTAAATAGTTAAGCTTTGAACTTGCCTAGGCAGCCGTTGCTCTGACCTTGATAATGGCTAATGGGCAGCTGCTCTATTTGCCAGAGCTTTGGGTCTGATCTCGCGCGCGCTCTCCCTCTCTTTGTCTGTGCCTGGGTTCACCTTATATAATGCGACGTAACGTTTGCCGATCGTTCGAGCATTGCACAATTCAGATATCGAGGGACTGGGGCAGCGTTGAATCGATTTCACACACCGCTGACTCCTGGGCAGCGGCAGTGGCAGCAGCAGCATCGACTCAACTTCCGGCATTGGGCCTGACCGTAGCCAAGCCCCAATGCCCAAAGTCGTGCCACCTGCCCCAGCTATAAATGCCAATGTTGTTGTCAAAATCCAGCCACAAATTTGACGAACGTGCCACGAGATGGAGCTGCTAACCAACACGAATTTGCCCACTGCTTTGCTAGCCCTGCTGCAACTGCTGCTGCTGCTGCCTTCGGCTCAGCCGCAACATTATTTTCCGCACAGGCAGCTGCATTACTACGATGCGCCGCCTCGTCTGCGCCGCGTGGAGTATGTGGCCGCGCCCTTTGTGGGCGGCTATGTGGCGCCACCTGCCGCACACTACCAGCAGCAGACGCCCAACTTCCAGTTGCTCAACTATCGGCCCAGCTATCAGCCCCTGGCCTTGGAGTACCAGCAACAGCAGCTGCCTGCACCACAGCCAGCAGCTGCACTGCCAGCCCTGTACCCACAGCCGAGTGTGCAGTACTTGCAACGTTCTGCGGCACCGCCTGCCGAGCTGGCCAAATATCGCTACGAGGGCAACTATATGCCCGTGCAGCAGCGCGTGGCTGTGGCGCCTGTACCGCAACGACAGCCACAGGCGCAGCCACAGCCGCAGCAACGTCTGGAGGAGCAGTTGTACAATGTGCCGCCGGTTCTGTTCACTAGCGACGTGCTGCATGTGGTGCCCTCTCGAGCGGCGAACGCGCTGCAACAGCAACAACAGCAGCAGCAACATCTACAGCAGCAACAGCAGCAGCAACTGGGCGCTCAACGCTCTCGTCGCTTTGCGTCCAGGCAGGATGCGGATGCAATGGCAGCGGAGTCTAGAATGGATAGTGAACGACCCACAAAGGAAACCAAATATTTTCAGTAAGTGTGATGCTTTCTCCTTAATCTAACACTCTCCACATATTCACAATAAAACTCGTGGAAGCCTCTTCTAATAAGTGACAATCACACAGGAGACTCCTGTTGAGTGTGACGTCCTACTCAATTTTTTACTCCCATTTTTAATCCCATTTCATGCAGAAACCTAATAATATTAAAAATTCGTATAAATTTGCTTTCTCTCTCTTCTTCACTTATTGCTCTATTCCATATACTTATCTAAAAGCTCTGCTCTCTCTTCCCATCTCTTCATCTCTTTAGTGATATCTTCATGAGATTCGATGGACCCAATGCGCGCAGTCATGGACATGTGCTGGATCATCCGAAGGCGCGCGAGCGACGTTTCGAGTCTCAGCGTGGCACAAATCGTTACAAGGGCGAGGTAAATAAAATATCCAGCGGAATCCTAGTCAGCTTTTAAAACTCATGCTTCCAGGTCATATGGACGGATCGTCGTGGTGCTCATGGCGAGCATCGCTGGGACATGGCGCAGGGCAAACTCTGAGCTGTACTTCAAATGCCTTAACTCTTTACTTTTCTCTCTCTCTCTCTTTCTCTCATTATTTCTATCTCTGCCTTGACAACTGCTCAGTAAATCGTGACTTTTCATAATTTTGGCGTATTATTTATTTAAGGGCAATGATTTGGCGTGAAATTCGAAAGGTCCTGCAAAAGATTTGCATAAGAAAGCAGCCTCAGCATATTCTTATCATAGGTCAGCGCCGGGGAAGCCTTTGCAGTATTTTCTCACGGGCCACACACACACACACAGCCAGGCGAGAAAAAGTGGACTGTCCGGTTACACGACTTTCCGCTGTTGTCGCCAGCACTGGCCCATGGAAAAAGGTCAACTTAAGCAACTATCCTTTCGATCAGGAACTGGTTTTAGGCAATGACCCGAAATGTCCTGCAGTTACTTAGTTACAACAGAACAGGACAGCACAGAATAGATCAGACAGTCGTCAGACAGTCCATCAGTCGACGAATGCGGGTCATATGCAAATGGGCCGAGCTCCGTCTGGAGAGGGTTGAGCGTGCTGCAGGCGGGTTGAGCGTCTTGTAAGTCGGTGACCTCAAGGGTTGCATCTCATTTGCATTTACAGCGGCTTGAGGCGCCGTTCAAGTGACACAAATGCCTCGGGCCGGCAATGTCCAGTTATTATTATTATTGGTTTTAGGTCTGGCATATAGCCGATAGTTGCAACAGCTGACCAACTTACATGGCTCCGGCGATATGCAGCCAGGGATCAGCTTAAGATCAATTCTCTAGTCGGGCATACAGGTAGGCAGGGCAAGCAGCCCATTTGCCGACGTAGCCATGCGGGTCTGTCAGTCAGCGACTGTCCAGAACCGGTTACAGTTCGGTTCTTCTGGCCGATAAGGTCATCATCGTCAGCAGCAGCGCCTTGATCTACAGTGATAACCCTTGGCTTTCGCCTGGTTCTCACACTGTTTTCTTGCTGCTTCTAATTTATGCAAGGACATTGCGAAAGGACACTATTGCCAGAGCAACTGCTCGATTGATGTGGCGCGACTTGCACACAGAGAGAGAGAGTTCCCAGAGTCCATGGACCAACCGGTTTGACCGGCCCGAGCTTTGTCTGGCGAGCATCTTCGGTGACCACGCACGCTCGCTGTGAGAACTTCTTCCACATTTACGCTGGCCTTTGTCAGCACCCAACAACTGGACGAACGGGTTGTCATATGGTCGCTACACTTGGATCTTGTCTGTGCCCAATGCCTTAAGGGTTAGCACATTGATTTATGCGCAATTAAATTCTGTTTACACACCAACCATGTGGCTCTACAATTATTAGACCGTCGAAAATGGCCAGAGTGAGGCAGGAGTACTGGGCTATGAGAGCAGTACGAAAGTAAATGGATATCAGTACGAAATGGAGATTGGCCAGGCAACGTTCGACAGAGTAGCTGAAGAATATACTTCACATTTAAATAAAATCAAGTTGAAGCATAATTAATTAATATTTTTATAAATTTGAAATATAAATTAAATGTCTTATACGACGTGATATATTCATATTTAAATAAAATCTTCCATATATAAAACAAAAAAGATCTTTAAACAAATTCGTTGATAAAGTTCTATTTAATTTAATTTTTCAATTTTTTAAGAAAATAGAAGAGCATATCTCAAGCAAAAATCTATCAATAAAGAAATAGACTTCAATTTAAGTTTACTATTTTCTGACTTACCCTTTTCCATAAAAATCAAACACAATATTCTTAAATTTTATTTAAATGTTTTTTTTTTTTTATAAAAATGTTTAATTAAATAATCTAAATCAGAAAATCAATAAAATATATATCGAGTACAGCAAGGAATTTCGATTGCTTGAGCCATACGCAAACATGGGCAAATGTGTGTTCAGATGCATTGATGAATAATATTATGAACGCCTCTATAAACTACATGGACTTGCGGAACTTTCAAGAGAGGATGCACCGCGTACAGCATCCTTATTGGTATTGATGGTACTGCGGCTGCTGCAGCTGCTGTGGCTGGTACTGCTGCTTGGCCTGGCCATAATCCTGCTGGGCCTTGTGGCCGCCGGCGCGTAGCAGCTGCGTTGCTGGTGGGGGTGTTGGTATCTTGACAACAATGTCGGTGGGTTCGCGAATGACCTCCGCCTTGAAGCCCTCCTTGGGGTCCGCTGTGTACTTGACGGTGCGTATGAAGCCATCCGAATCGACCACAGAGTAGCTGCCCTTGATCACCGAGCCGTCGCGAACTTCTTTGCGATTCTGATAGTTGGTGAACTCATCGTCTTTCACATCGAAACCAAATTGATACGAGGAGTTTTGCTATGAAGAGACAGAGAGAGAGAGGGAGAGAGAGTTGTATTTGCATATCAAGTTGAGCATTTCAAATGCGTAGCGCCATGTGACCCAGTTTTACTTCAATTACAACACACACGGTGACTGCGCATGCGTGTGGGCGTTTGGGCGTGTGTGTTTATCCCCGACTGGAATATTCAAGCCCAGATCGAGTTGCTCAACACGCACAAGTGAAAGTAATTTGAAGTCGACTTGCATATTTTTAATGACACGAACAACTGCAACCGATCGCTGGGGCATGCAGCGATCGCATGTTGTCTTATGCAACCGGCCACTCAAATCCCCAGAAATCTTTTTGCACGTAATGCCCAACGAGGCCTGCCCCTAGATATACATAAAATTATACATTTATTGATATCTTGCGCATACTTCATGCACAAGGTTGCATTGCCCCCTTCACAGTTGACGAGGAAGCGACCAAAGAGTAAGGCTAAGCTCTAACTGGGTTAAGGTAAACCAAAGCCAAAACGTGCCCAAGAGGCGTGTTCGCCAACAGCAATTGTTCTTAGCCTGACGTGGCCCAAAAATGTAGAAAAACAACGAGCCAGCCGAAAATTTATTGCAAATGCTGCATTGCTGCAAAATTGGAAAGGCAATTGGCCAAAAGAGCTAGTTTCTTGAAGCCGGTTCTAATGCGTGCACTGTCCACTCGGAACTGATCGTGTTTTGGGTGTCTTTTGGGTCTTGTGGCTAGCTTTGCTAAATGGGTCGCATTTGAAAGTGATTGTAACTGCGGCGCATGTGCCGCATGACATGCAGCTTGACAATTTTTTGCTCTCTATGCATGTGTGCGAGAGTGTGTGTGTAGTGTGTGTGTGTGTGTGTGACACCATTTTTGGAGATTTGACAAACTAGAAATGAATGCATTGGGCAGCACTTGCCCGCTGACAGCAGAACAAGATTTGGTCACTCTTTTGGGTTACTTAGGATGCCCATTCTTATCTTTGGACTTATTTGCGTGTGATGCACGAAACTGTCAAAATATAAGAATCAAGTTTTGCATAGCAATGAGCTATAATGACATTTGGTAACCTGATTTAGTTGTGGAATAAATACGTGCTACGATAGTCTATTATATATTTTATATATATTCTCAATTACTTCAACATTTTACACTATTTCAGTGAATAGGCGGGATGGGCTAATAGGAATATGTAATTCTCATTCTAGGAAGCAGCGCCAAGTAAACAATTAACGCATCTCGAGCTGCTTTTCAGGCAATAGCTGAGCTGCTTTACTTGTAAATAAGCTCACATAACTGTCAACAAATTCTATATGCCTTCCCTTGCACAACTGATTTCACAGCTTTCACCCAGAAGAAGCCATACAACTATTTTCGCGACTATGCGTCCCACTTTGCATCATAGCTCATATATGCAAAGTAGTTTGGCTTAGGCTGGGGATTAATGCGAATTTTTGCATCGGATACATTTGGCTAACGAGCATCCGCAGCTTCCGCATGAGTGGGCCATAAATAAATGTTAGCCAGGAGTTGAGTTTTGGTCACGGCTATGGCCAAGTGGCTGCAGTTAGTGCTGCATTGTATTTGATGGTTAATGAACTCTATGGCTAAATCTCTCTCATGCTTCAATTGTAATTATGCACTGACTGGCTGGATGGCTGTCTGTCTGTCCGTCTGTCTGTCCGTCTGTCTGTCTGCCTGCCTGTCTGCCTGGCTGGCAACATTGTTTAGTTGGTTGCGAAAACGAAAACGAAAGTGCGCGAAAGCGGAGTTCGAACCCGTTATGGTCAACTTACATCATCGTACTCCTCCTCCTCCGCCTGCTGCTGTTGCTGCTGCTGGTGCGATTGCAGCTTGAGTTGTCCTTTGCCGAGCAGCGGAGCGGACGCCGCCTGATAGCTGGGGCGACGCGGGGCTGGAGCAGGCGCTGCCTGTGGCTGCCGATAGACGCTCTGCTGCGGCTGTGACTGATACTGCAAAGGAGAAGAGGAAGAAGCCAATTGGTGAGTCGGCACAGCTTTTCATTACCTCTAGACTCTGCCCACCTGTGGCTGCAAATAGTCTCTGACCGCTGGCGCCACATATCCCTGCGGCTGCTGCTGCTGCTGCTGCGCGCGTATCTGCTCGGCGACCGTATCCTTCAGCCTGATCTGCTGCCCAGAGCTCACATACTGCTGCGTCTGCTCGGAGTTCTGCTCGTAAATGGGCGTGCCATCGGAGGGCCGCTGCTGTTGCTGCTGCTGCTGCAGCTGTTGRTAATACTGACGCAAATAGGCGGGATCGACGCCCTGTTGCGCTTGGGCGACTCCGCAAATCGCGACCGTGGCCACCACGAGCAATAGCTGCATTATAATACGAGTTTGTTTCTCTGCTGTTGCCGTTGCTGCTGCTGAACTACACTTTACACTTTATTGCCGATCGATACAAAACGCGCTCGTCCCACTCCAAGTCACAAAACTATCTGCGTTCACTGCAAACTCCAATTGCACTTTTATATCGAATACCTCTCACGATCTCAGCTAGCTGCGCCACAACCAGAGCCACAGCCAGACGACTCGGAGCTAGAGCGGCATTCGGTTGTCTCTCCGGCTCTCTAACGGTCGTTGGTGCCGCGCTTTGTTGGTAGCCTCTTTTTTGATTTACTACAGCTGTTGGCTTGCATAGTTGGCACTTCCGTTGCCATTATATCATGGACAGTATTGTCTCTCTGTACGTACCGCCCGCGCGCTCTCCCCCTCATCTGCTCAGCTGATTTTGAGAGCTCGCCTCGACCTGTGTGTCATTGTTGCTTTAGTGAAAATTGCTGCTCCAGTTTACGTTTGCTTCATTTGCATTCACAAACATTACGTGCGATCCTCCAAGTGGGTTAGCACCAGCCAAAGCTGTTAATGCAACTCTGCTAACTTTTGCTGCGCTGTTATTTAACATTTTTGGTTCAGCGTCAGTTTCATAAATAGCCGGGCTAATAATCTACTTTAGCTGTAACTGATAGCTTTCCGATATCTTATATATGGGGTCAGACTGCAGCTAATTAACATTTGGTATGCTGTTAACATTGATATTTGACATTTGCACTCTTTCTTCTGTTAACCCATATTCGGCTAACTGTGAGCAGCTGTACTTAGCTGTTAGTTAACATTTGATATTAAGCTTCAATTTGATTACACACCATAACAGCTGTTAACTAACATCTGACAGCCACTTAGCAACTGTACCCAACTGCTAGCCAGCATTTAAATGGCTCGTTGACTGCAATTGTCGATAGATTATCTACTTAAGCCATTTGTCAGCTCAATTGCTTGAGTTCAATGCGTTTAGGGCTCCGCCTCAGTCACAATTTATTGAATTTAATCCGACAAGTGCAAAAGACTATTGTTCATAGAGTTTGACCCAAATTGTTAAATCACAGCAAACTCGATATCGAAAACGTTTCGCTGCCTGTGTATATATATGTGTGTGTTTGTATGTGTGTATCTGTATCTGTTGCGACCACGTTGCGGTTGAATAGCTTCAACTATGCCAGCGATCTTTTGATGTGATTGCCAAATCTTTTGCATTTGAAGACCTTTACGCCAGATGCAAGTACCACAAAGCTGTTGCCAAGCGATCGCACGTAGCACACGCAGTCATTAAATCTCAATAAAGCCACCGCCTGCCCCACCCAACGAATGCCCACCCACCCAATAATGTACGTTTATTTATTTGTAAGCGTCTCTGATGCGATTACTTAAGAGCAACAATTGCTGCGATCCATTGCAGAGAAATAGCTGCGTTACGCTCTAGGGTTTTTTTGATTTTGATTTTTATTTTGATTTTAGTTTCAATTTCGATTTAGTTTCGTTTGATGACACACATGAAGGATTTTATTCGCCAAGGTCGTTGAAATCTATTCAAAGTCTGTTTCTTAATGGAGCTTGTGCGATTTTCGTCAGCCGTTGACCGTTTAATGGGGGCGAGCGCTATGTAGCTCGTCCAAATCGTGGATTATTAAAGCTATGAAGTGAAAGTACATTATGTATAACAGACAATTGTTAGAGTCGAAAAATGTATGTGATGTCCGTGTGCTTTCGTTTGCGCTTGAGTTTGCATACATAATTTCAATAAAAATGTGTTTAATTGCCTGCGTGATTGATGGACCTCAAATGTGGTAAATAGATTTATTTACATATATATCAAGAGATCTGCCGAGTCATGTTATGCAAAGTTTTTGGAAGTATCGGATTACGGCACAGAAAAGCAGGGAAATCGAATAGAGAATTGAAAGTCACTTAGCTCTAATTAAATGCAATTATAAATGGGGTTTGCCCACTCTCAAGAAAAGTCTGCTTGCATTTATGGAGGGGGAAAATATTTGAATATATATGATATGTATGCGACGAATACAACTCCGCTTGCATACCCTACTTATTTACATTCCATATTAGAAATGAAAAATCATTTAAAACAGCAACTCAGCACAGAGAATTCAGGGTATCTGCAAGTCGGGCACACCCGACTCCAGCACTCTTGTATTGCTTTATTCGTTTTCATACATTTGTAAGGACTAGAACCACTCGCTGTTGATTTCGAACGAAGTCAACTTGAAATGAACATAAATAATATATTTAATAAAAATCTTTAACTAAAATTAAATTTAATTTCTCTTTTTGTTTTTTATTGACTATTGCGCTGGGAGGCTGACAAAAAGGTTTGAGAACAATTGAACTCAGCAAAGAGTGAGTTAATTTTGGTTGTTGTTTGTTTATATTTATAATAATATTTAGATCAGCTCCATTGAATTTCTGTACCGATTCGTAATATGTATTTATGTATATATATTAGGGGTATTCCTTTTGTTAGTTGCTTCTCTTGTCGTTGGTTTGTTTTCTTTAGTTTTTGTTTTATAAATTATTTTTAAATAAGTTAAACAGAATTTCATAAAAATCCGCTAAATTGGTTAAATAACGCTTAACTAGCAACTGTTGTTTGTTGTTATTTTTATTGTTGCCTGTTGCTGCTGCTGTTGTTGTTGTTGTTGTTGTCGACTGTTGCTGCTGTTGTTGCTCTAGTAGTCAGTGGCACCAATAACGCTGTACATCAGACGATTGAACGAGCCGCTCTGGCGTATGTTTTCATCGTGTGTGTTTACCACCTGTTAAGAAGAGAGCATATGTTAATTGATAACAGCGCTGTTAATTTGATTTTCAGTTACTTACATTGTACGGCGGCCGGGATACTGGCGCTGATACTGGCTTCTGTAAAGGCATTTATAAGGTATGTAGAAATAAAGATAAAATTTGCTTAATGGAGAGAAATATTCCAGCTATATTGATTTTCTCTTCAAATGTTATGAGCGTGCTTTCTGTTAGTTAGTCCGTTATGTTATGCCAAAAATAAAAAGCTTATTGTGACTCGGAAGAATATACACAGAGATGTGATTAATGATGATGCTGTACGACTTGCAGATTCCATGACAAGTTATCCAAAATCAAAAATAATAATGTTAGTATTCGACTTAGGTTAGTTAACATTGCATTGCCTGACAGCACATTAAACATACGAGCGCCGCTTAACATTCTGCTAGGCATTGGAATATATAGCATTGGACAGAGGACACACAGAGAGAGGACAACAGAAACAAAAAATGCTGTGGCTGTACTATAAAACAAAATTTTGATTTGACGGTACGTGAGACGGCGAGATACATTTAGAGATAATAGTAGATAGAGATAGAAAGATATTCAAATAGTGCGCAATGAACTGGACAATATATATTTATTTATATATCGTGTCTAACACACAGATATATAGTTCACATATAAGTTGCTTTTTTTTTGAGCTGAGAACAATTTCGATTTGATTTCGGTTTGACAGTTGACGCGATCTTACCTTTCCTGGAACCAATCTATTCGGCTGGTAGACCTTTGTCTGCACAGGTATGGTTACTTCCTGTGGCGAGGATTGACCATAGCTGCTGTAGCCGCCTTCCTCTTGAATGGCTCTGTAGGTTTCGCTATTCCTTGGATCGTAAACAACAGTTTTCTTATAACTGTTACGTCGATTCGATTTATCGAGTTTGGATTTTTATCGTATTGTTTTTGTTTTGATTGAGATCGTTGAAAGCGCCGTATTTTGGTAAATATCATATGTCAAAATATTTAAGGTTATGCAATTTTTTTAAAGAATTTTTTAACGTTATATCATTTTTATTTTTGTTGGTTAAGTTCATATATATATACATGTGTATATACATATATGAATTGTTTTTGTACATCGGTTGAGTAGCGTGAGACAGAGTAGTGAGAGAATAGAAAGAGAAAACAGGATGTGCACAAAATACGTTAGAATTATTTTTGTTGTTTTGTGATTTTTTAATTCTTTTTTTTTTTTGGTTTAGTTGTTTTCCAATCAAATAGCCGTTGTCTTAAAACTCGACATTTTCTCAAACAACTTTAATAATTAAGTAATGAAAAATTCAACAAATCTCTTACAACTAATTATTAAATGTAAATTGTATAACAGAACAGCATAACAAAAAGTTGAAAATTATTATTTAAAAAAATGGTATTACATAGTTGATTAATTGTAGGATTCGTGTTAGTCAGGTACTACTGTTAATACTTAGTGGGAATTTAGGAACTTGTTGTTGTTGTGTTGTCTTTGACACTTTGAGTTGGATAAATTCAGCAAACGTCTTTTTTAGGAACTTTTGTTTTGGGGTTGGTTTTTGTGTTTTGTTTAGGTGCGATTCTTGGACTAGGGGACTTTGGGGTATGTCATTGCTCTAGTTAAAATTGTTGCTAATTTTGTCATTGATATCAAAAAACAATTTATATTGTTCATAGGTTTTTTTGTTGATAGAGCTGCTGCAGTTGCTGTTGCCGCTGTTGACGTTGTTGCTCGGCAAGTTGATCTTTTTGCTTTTGTTGCTCCAGGATTTTACGTTTTTGTTCCAGGAAAGATAGATCGATGAAAATTCTAACATTAATCGTGCAGCTAAGTTCTAAGTTTGATAATATATATTGGCTAGAGTATTGTGTTTTGTTGGTATAAAATATAAATATTTATATACTTATATATAGAGATTGGTTTTGTTAAGCATCTTATCCAATTAGAACAATTGATCAATTCGTATTAGGAATGTATCATCTAACATATTTACAGCGTCTGACCTAATTGCTATTCACCTTTCACAATTGCGCCTCATATGCCATTCTAATAAATATTTGGTCAAAGAACAACAAGGGATAGGACTTGAGGAACTTTAAACTCTGACTTCGAGAGGTTTTGATTTTCTTTTTTGGAGAAAATTCAAATTCCAGATTGCGATAGGAAGTGGAATTAAACAATCAGATTCATACATGTAACATATAGACAGCACATGCACTCATGACCTTGGGTCTAGCTGTACGTATATATATATAGGACATATATGTATGTATGTATATTTGATATGGGATTAGGACTATACACAGGTTGCAGCTTGTTGTGGCTGGGTGTACAACAATTCGGTTAATCGTTCGTTGGCAGGCAGAATAATTTGTGAACATATATGGTACAGTACTACATCAATACGGTGTACGTGTAGGAAAATTTTGTAATATTTGTAAAATTTGTGTACGTAGCAAACATTCACGTTTCCAATTATGCCTAATAATCAAGTTTCTAGAAGACCGAATGCTTGGCCTCTGTTTGTTTACGATCTTCAAGGAAATGCAAATCAATCAATCAATCCAGTAAAAAGTATGTATATATATATATATGAGTGTATATATAAGTGTTTATATATATATCAGGCTGTGCTCAAAATATGTTTACTTTTACCCGTCAAGTTTTGTTGGCAAAGGACGATGCAAAGGACTTTCCTTCAAGCGATTGCTATCGCTTGTGGCAAAGCTACAACAATATACATAGAATATATTTAAAGATATATGTATGTGGTGTATATATATAGAGAGAGCATGTGTA